CTTAGGAACATTATAAAATAAATAATATTATTTAGAAACATCACAAAATAAATAATATTATTTAGAAACATCACAAAATAAGTAACATTATTTAGAAACATCATAAAATAAATAATATTATTTAGAAACATCACAAAATAATATTATTTAGAAACATTGTAAAATAAATAATATTGTTTATTTTATGATTATTTAAAAAACGATGAAAAATTACGCGCCTTGTCCTCCCAATAGCTAGCAAGCTGTAAATCATAACGAAAAGTCGGTAATCAGAACGTGAAAGCACGTGTTCTAAAAGCTACGGTGAAAGGTTGGAAAGGGGTGTTTCCTGATGGGGCGGAGGGCTGAGCGATAAACGGATAGAGCCGGGTTAAATATTAAATTACAACGTTTCGAGTGACCACCGGGTTCGGTTATTACGCGCGGCGGTTCTGCGGAATCGCTGTAATTTCAAACCGTATCGGGGCGAATTATGATTCTCTCAAGTGCAGTTAAACGGCGGCAAACTGAAATACCAACGGAGTTCACTTTGAGTTTGTACGCGGTGGGGCAGATTCGTTTCCCTGGCAATTACGCTTCCACGGAATGGAATCGCGAGTTTTCAGTTTCAACGACGCGACACGCGTTTTTTTTTTTCTTCTTCGTTTTCGATTTCACGACACATGCACTTGAACAGATTCCTACGTGTTGAAAAAATACTGATAGTCGAATTGTATTAATGTAAAAGACTCCGAATCTTCGTGTTTTATATTTTATAATGTACGTTAAGTATCGTTTACCGTCACTCGTACGTGTAATATCAGTTTCAGTCTAAATATTGAATATCAAAGCGATGTGAAAAGAATATAAAAAATTCTACAACTTCGAATGGAAAAATCTTCAGTTTCAATATTCGTCGCATTGTTAATTGAATGACAGTTGTTGAATATTGAAATGTTTCAGAAACAACGTTTTACAATATGTTTTCAGATAAATGATATTCAGCACGATCGTAAATCTTTCAACGCGACGTAACAACTGATCATTGGTAATACAAGATTTATAAATATTTCCAGACAAACGAACATATCGCTTCGAAACAAGTATCGAAACGAACGATGCGATTCCAATCCGAAGGAAATCTTCAAATATCACCGCGAGAAGAAATTAAATCATCACGTTGATCCTGCAGTTCTATCTGATACTGCGCGAACATCCTCCAAGCGAACGACACTTTTGAAATGAATATCCAAACGATATACGACACGATCGTGGAATATCTTCAAATATCACCGCGTCAAAAAATTCCTAATATTATTAATTAAATTATTACGTTGATCCGGCAATTTATCTGATACGGTACAAATATCCTCCAGACGAATGACACTTTCGAAACGAATCTTCGAATAAAATCGAAAGGGAAAAGAGAAAGAAAATTAAAGGGAACTAGCTTCCGCTGTTGTCGGAGAATATTTCAGGATAGCGAAAAACAAGGTGATCTTGCGGTTCGACCGGTTAATGGGAAGGTCGCTAGGGCCGTGAACAGTTGCATATTACGGTCTCTCTCTCTTTCTCTCTGTCTCTCTCGAGTTAATCTCGTCGAAGAGGGCAAGGACAAAAAGCAGCGCCATTATTCTCTTAATCTAGCCTCGCGAAGCATCTCCGGGAAAGTTAGCCGGCCAGATACATAATCCGCGGCGTTTCTGCGGGACATTTTCCCTCGGACCATAAATCACGAAGGCTCGCGTCGTTAGGGGTCGTCCTTGTCGCGGCGTAATGGCGATCTTGCAGCTGTAACGATGTCCTCGTGTCACTCGCCACCCCTTAATTGGAGACTCTGTCTCCCCTTTGCCTCTGTGTGTGTGTGTGTGTGTGTGTGTGTGTGTGTCCCACCTTTTCTTCTCCCTGTTGAATTTTTAATCGCAGAACCCTCTTGGAAAAATGTCTCATCCCTCGAGTATTTTAGGAAATTTCAATTGTTCAAGGCCCGTTGCTCGCGTTGAGTTTAAATTTTCGACACTTTTCTTCGTTCGAGCTTTCCGTACATTCGCGACTCGTTGGGAACTCGCCGCCGAGATTACCCTCCTGAGTATCAATCCAGATTAAAATCGGGAAGAGAAGAGAGGCCCCACAGACGCTGGCTGGTGTACGAAGTACCTAAATGTTATAAGGAAACTTTTCCTTTCGCGGATCCTCTCCCCCTTCCTCGACGTGTAACGCGAACCGTTATAAAACAGAATTACGGGATTACGACGATAATTAAGAGGCGAACTTTCTTCCACCTGTAACGCCACCATCTTTATTATCGAGTCGTTCTCGAAACTTTTTACGCGAATCCGTGGAATCACGGATGCACGCGTGGACTTTCGCGAAAGATGGAGGGAGAATGATCTCAGATGGTGTTAATACTTCGTGGATGGATGATGTCAAGCTTCTTACGACAGCTAGTAATTATCACAGCCAATAACAGCAATGATTTTCGCCGATACAACGACAGAGGCTAACGCGCTAGATGAACTTTGCGCTTATAACGGATTCCCGATTATTTTGGTTGATTTTGCGCTGTTTACCGGGATTTTGGATTCCCGTGCGTTTTCACACGGTCGAATTGCGCATCCCGAGAGACCGAATAATTTGTTAATCTGAAAATAGGGCTTTCACAGCGGCGGGTATAAGCGAGGATTAATTGAATGATTTAGCAGATGGAAGTTTCAGGTTCGCGATCACGTTGAAAAAAAATTTTTGTTTTTCTTTTGTTTCAATTTCGTTAAATTTGTACTGAAAAATTTGTTATTCGTGGAAATAAAGCGTCTGTAATGTAAAGTTGAGAGTTTCGTCGAGAGGACAGTAAATTTGATAGTTTGATTTATTCAAAAAAAGCGATTCTGATCGACGAATAAATTAGAGAAATTTCCATTTGGAAATTCAAAGTCTCCAATTTTATTTTATTTCATATTGGCGGGGAATGATTCAATTGATTTGATCGTTTGAGCGACAGGTGAAGCTAAAATCTCTTCTATTCTAGCTACTAAATATTATATCGCCTTTTACACATACTATACATTTTCACTTTCTCCAAATCTCCTGCAAACACGCAGAAAACTTTTCTTATCATCTGACGTATTCACTCACGAATGTTTCCCGACTTTAGAAT